GAGAGAGAGAGAGAGAGAGAGAGAGAGAGAGAGTTACTTGGGCCAGCACTTGATGTCCAGTTGGGAGAGGCGAGATTCAGAAGGGTTTCTTTCAACTGTGATTCTGAGGCTTGAGGAGGAGGAGGAGGTTGATGAGCAGGGTTCTGCAGCCATCAAAATATAAGAGGGGAACAGTGAGTGCTATTGTTTTGAGAGGAGAAGAACAACAGTGTTGGGAAGAACTGATATATATATTTTGCTTGAATTTTTTGTCTGCATATAAGTTGTGAGGACTTTGGAGAAGCTTAAAGGAAAAGGGAATCTTTTACAATGAAGGAGAAGGATAAGAAACCTTAATATATAGGGAAGGGGACAAGATATTGGTATTTTTCCCTTATTCCCTCCCTCCTCATTATTTACCATTGACTTACCACATGCATCATGTCATATTCACAAATTATATTTTCGATGCTTAAATTCAAATTATAGTAGGTGGTTATATGTCTTAAGCGATGTGACCACTGCACTCGTATTCACGATAAGAGTTCGATTAGTTTGCCATTATTTTATTTTATTTTTAAGAATAAACAGTAAATAACTTAGATACTAAAATTATCAATCATACCCAAAAAAGAGTTAATACAAATATGAAAGCACAGTAACCACTCATGCTTATTCTAGATGTAGAGAAAGACATTACAAGATTTATCTCCACTAATAGTGGCATCAAGTCAAACAAATTTCGACGAGAAAACCGCAAACCTGAACAAATCAGACATAACAAGAGTTTAATGTTTTTTCTTTCTTTGAATTCAGAAGAAAAATCAAATCAAAACTAATTCTAGGGTTAAGTTAATGCACACATTTAATTATATGGTAGGTGGTTGGCTAGGATTTCTTAGTTATGGCAGATGGGGCGAGAGGGCCAACCCATGTAAGCAACACCCTTGTGCACAAGGAAATTTACATGTGCTATATTAATTAGGCGGTATTAGAAACATAATTTTTAGGTACAACTTTGTGTCCACAATAATAATTTGACATTGACTTATATAAAAACCATATTATATATTGGAATATCACAATAATTTTTAATTGTTGAATGTCACACATTGCAGTCATATGAAAATAATAAATTGATTAAATTGTTAATTGATGTGTTTAATAAAAAAAAAATTGCTTATCATTATTGATGTATCTAAAGCTAAATTTGTAAAAATATCACTCACCGGTCAAACGGTTTGACTGGAAATCCAACATCCAGAGAGTACGTGGCTGTAAATGAGTGGTATCAAAGTTTGACCGGGAATCGTGATCTTGAAGATACCGACATTGCTCTGTCAGACCTTTTCGTTTGGCTCCATTCATGTCCATGATGCCCCATGATGTATATATATCTTTTGGTTTTATTTACACCATCCTCCTCAAACAAGCAATTGTGCACGTGCCATTTCACGTCAAGTCGTCGTCACCGTCGTACTCGTATTTGACTGTTGTACTCGTATTCGTATACTGTATACAAGACTCGGTCAATTAATTATAGGTTTAATGATATTTCTCTTCCTAATATTAAAAAGAGTATCAAATTCGAATATCTTCTATTTCAAATTTTCAATAACAAATTCTTATTTATCACACCATTGTTATATGAAGTAGGGTTGTCTTCAATTTTGGCTGCCCATTGTCTTATAAAATTCATCGAATTTGTCTCTAAATTAATGTGTGCATGCATAATTCATATACGTATAAAAATGGTGGGTGCGATGCACTTTGACTTAGTGCCTGCACATTTTATACCTTTTGTGAATGATGAGCCGTCCCAATTGTTAATAATATCTGCACGTTTTGAATGTTTCGAAGGAACATAAGAAAAAACCTACACTACCCAAAGTCAAGAATCAACTAGGGCAATATATATCTAGTCTAGGCATCATCTTCATAAAGGTTTAGAAGTTTGGATCACCAATGAAGGACTTCAAGAAGCATATATCATTATTCATGGGCTTGTGAGTTATTTGATTGTATACACATTTGTAGCATTCTTCGAGTAATTGATAATCATGCGCACGTAAATGATTTATAACTATTAATTCATATAAGTAGTTTGTGCATTTATTAATTGATGGTCCACGTAGCTTAACAAAACTCATTAATTAGCTAACTAAACCTACACTACATGAATACGGTGACGTGAATTAGGCCAATTGAATAGGGTATGAGACATTAGAGCACTTCCACCCATTTGTCATGGCAAAGGGTAAGGGCAATGCAAGGGTTGTTACTATTCATGTGAATAATGCCACCCCTTGCAAAAGGCTTGTTGTGTTTCCACTCATTGCCATGGTAACCCAAGGGCAATCACTATTCACATGAGATATGAGGAAAATAATTTGTATAGAGTTTTGGTGTGGGAAGTGAAGAATATGCCTAGGTATTTATTAAAAAAAATATATGAAATTTTTGGTATTTTTTTTCGATTAAAGAAAAATTTCATTTCTGACGTAATCACTAATGTCAACTGCCCTCAGGGACGAGCTCGGGCTCGTTTTGCCTTTGGGCTTGCCCGAGTTGGTGGTCCCCACCATTTGCTAGAAGCTGGAAGTTGCAAACTGGGCTAAGGCCCCCTCCTGCTTGGGCTTACCCCTTGCGCTGGAAGTGCTCTTAAAAGCAGTCTCCTCCTTTGCCTGTTTTAATCATGGGTTGGGTTAATTGAAGGAAATGATCTCTTGGACCATATGAAGTCTCAATGAGCCTAAACCCTCAACCTCCTCATTCTAGCCTCTCTTAGGTTTCATTAACTCAAAGGTCATCTATTTTTCTTTCAGGCCCAATAGATCGTAGGCCCCCAGACAAGGAAACCCGATTCTGAAAACTGATTTGAGCCCGCGGATCCGGGTCTGAATACGGGTCAGTAGTTCATCATTAGAGCTCGTTTCGTCCACTCCACACACACTTCCGTCTTCACATTCCGATCCCCGCATTTCCTCTCTCTCTCTCTCTCTCCGTTTCGCTTTGTGGTTTCAGTCAAATCCATGGCTACCCAAGGTCAAGTCATCACCTGCAAAGGTACTCTCTCTCTCTCTCTCTCTCTCTCTCTCTCCTTCTCTCTCTCTGACCAATTTCTCACCTCTTTCTTCTTGTTTTCTGCAGCACAAGGGAACCAATTTCTGACTTTTTATTCACCAACCCATCTCTCTGTTTCTAAATCTTGGCTGTTTGAAGTCGTATATATTGATTATGCACAATTTTGGGGATGAATTCACAATAGAAAGCTACAGAATCCCATGGCTTGTATGGATCCAGGTGATGGTGATGATCCTCCTCCTCATTCTTCTCTTCTGCTTCAGCATCTTAGTCTTAGATCTCGATGACCACAGCAACACCACCACCACCACCAGCAACAACAAGCCTTCATCTTCTTCCACTAGCCGCTTAGTTTCTGATGATCTTCCCAAGCACAACAACTCAACCACAGCTTTTACACAACACTTACAAAATACCCAGGTACCGATTTCCTCACACCACTCTGTTTTCTTACTGTTTTACATGATTTCTCTCTCCTTTTTGCTTATCGATTTCGTTTGTAGTTAGATGTGCAATGTGTTTGGCAGCTAGGAAAATGTTGAGAAGAATCTAAGAATGAAAGAAAGAAAGAAATGAATAAATAGTTTCCTGAATTCCCAATCCCACTAATTATATTTGTGTTCGTTTTGGTTTTAGTTGTACTTGTTTCCAATTTGTTTTTTATACGAGCAAAGCAATAGTGGGGAGGGGGATTTGAACCCTTGACTGTTTTTAATCGCTTGAGTTACAAGTGCTTTTGTTTTAATCTTTTAAAGCAAAGCTACAATGACTCTAAATTTGGTTTCCCTTTTTTCGATTTCTGGGTCATCTTTGGAAGGCAGGGATAGGGGATTGGTGGGGTTTGGGTTTGTGGATTGTGGGTTCAGCAGCATTTCCTTACGCACTTTAAATTTATTTGTAGAAGTTCTTGTCCATTGACCTAATATTATTGTGCAATAATTGCCTAATTAGGACCCTGCACTTTTTTCTTTACATATTTCATCTATAACGGAATTATTTGCCCATAATTTGTCTAAAATAAAAGGTAAAGAGCACCTCCCTCTAACGATTGTGGAAGATGTTAAAAGAATATAAACTCCCACATCGGAAACTTGCTTTTGGTGGAAATTCCATTTTGTGCAAATTGAGTGATTTTGTGGTAAAACCCTTGTACCAATTAACATACTCCAAAGTCCAATTTTTTTTCCTTTTCTGGTAGAACCCTTTGTTTTCTCATCTTCAATTTGAAATACCCTCGTTGCCCTTGTTTAGAAAAAAAAAAAAAAAAACCACATTACCTTTTCATTCTAAAATTGCTTAACCTCATTTATATTATATTTATTTTTATTCTAGGCCAATAGAAAATTTCATATGACAATGTTTTGTTCATTGTTTTTGCTGGCTAGTTAAGCATGTTTAATGATAACACCTGCTGTTGTAATTAGAATTAGGCAATGTATAATTATACGTACACAAATGTGAGCTTGTAAGATCTTGGCAGGTAGAAGAAAGCATAAAAGGGGAGATAGTAGCAAGCACAAGTAGAATAATGAGAGGAGAGGACATGTTAGAAATGGAGGCCCCTACAGCTTTCCATCTATATTTCCACCCTTGCTATTATTTTAGGCTGGCGAGACTTGCATTTCTTAAGTGTCTGGGCTTCGACTTCGCCGCTGAGAGTTCTTCAACTCCACAAAGAGGAAAAGGAAGAGAAAGTTGACGTGAATTCTCCTCCCAAGGGTTGCCTAGTTTATGTTGTATCTTGTAAGGGGTGAAACCAATTATAGACTCGTGGGGTGTGAGAAAATATTGTATGGTATTGGAATACGGTAAGGTGATATAAGGTGTAGGAGCTCATCTCCAAGCCCGGTACTGTTCTGCAGCACCAATTTATTCACCAAATTGTAAAAATACCACATTGATTGAGAATGGTATTTGATTGATTGTAGGAGATTGTAGGGGAGGACCATTGAACCAAGGACTCAGACATTGTTTGAAAAGAAAATTTAGTTGTATTTTACCATAGAAATCTGTAATGAAAATGATTTTAGTTACGGTAGTGTTAGAGTTTACTTTTGAATTCGCACTAACATTAGGTGTACCAAATTTGGATCCTAATTGTGGGACCTAAGAACTAATCTTTTGAAATTTACATGCACTAACATCATGCACATGTTGTAAGAGTTTTCGGGTTCGATTCATTAGTAGATGGTCATGTTGTGTGCTGTTCATAGGTAAACACATGATATATGAATAAGTTAAATACTATTTTCCACCTTAAAGAAAATTGAAGAGAGATGTCATCTCAATTGATTGAAATCCATGGGAGTGGTCGAGGATGTCTAGTATGTGAGCCTGAATCAAACAAAACTCTGTATTAAAAAATAAAAGTTATCAATGTGAAATTGGTTGCATATGTGGCCCATTAAAGAGTGGCTTCATGTGAGAGGGAGTGCTGAAAAATATGAAGTTACACATCGGAAATTAAACAAAATAAAATATGACATATAATGAATAGTTTCCCAACCGGGACCGGTATAGTTCGGTATCAAAACTGATACCGTTCACCTTAGGCTAAAATTTGAATTTTTTTTCTTCAGTTTTTGCAGCTGCCAAATAACTTCAATTTTTGCAATAGCTTCCAAATCAATCAAATACACCATGTTTTCATCATACTAAAAAGTAAAAACCTGTTCAAACTTCAAGTTCAAGATCAAGCCTAACAAACAAAACTTCAATTTCAATCAATACCATTCCAAATTGCCAAGCTCCAGATGCACATGACAGGCAGGCAGAGAGAGGAGAAGCACGTTTGATGTCAAATAGAGAGAGATGGTTATTAGGGTTCGATTCGACTTCGACACAGAGATGTTTGGTTATTAGGGTTCCACTTCGACAGAGAGAGAGAGAGAGAGAGAGAGAGAGAGAGAGAGAGAGAGAGAGAGAGGGAGAAGAAGAAGAGGAGATTGAGATTTGAGATGGATCGATCGATGGTGGAGGGAAGGGAAGGAGAGAGGAAAAAAGCTTATGGATCTGAAAAATCTTTCCTAAATTTCGTTCGTTCGTGTGAGAGAGAGAGAGATGTGAGAGATATACTAAATCTGAAATTTTGGAAATAATATTTTAATATTAATTAGTTACTTTTCGGTATGGTATGGCACCAAACGGGATCACAAATCTGATACCGATGTCGTGCCAAATAGTAACGGGATGACACGATTTCATCCCGTTTAAGCATCAAAGGTGTCGTGCCAAATAGTAACGGGATGACACGGTTTCATCCCGTTTAAGCATCAACACCAAACGGTTTTGCACGAGTTTGACACGGAATGGCACGGTTTCGGGACGGTATTGGTATTCCGGTTTTGATGCCCACCCCTTCACGTGAGAGGGAGTGTTGAAAAATATGAAGTTACACATAAGAAACTTAACAAAATAAAATATAACATATAATGAATAGTTCCACTACTAATAACATCGAGACCTTTTGTATAAAACCTTACACTGTATATGTGGGTTGTTAAGTTGGAAACAATGTTGATATTGCTAATAGTGAGTTGTGGGTCCGTTCCTTTGAAATCTTAATAGGTGTAGAGGGTTGTAGTTTCTTTTATTTCTTCTTTTTTCGAAAGTTTTAGTTATTTTTATTTGAAAACTACTGCAATACCTTTACCTAGGGTTCGTCACGGGCTAGGCCAGTCATAAATTTTTTGGTTCAGGCCGAGTTTTACATTTTTTTAATTTTTCGAGCAGGGCCGAGGTTTTAAAATAGGGTTGGGCATCTAAAGTTGAAATACCGAAACCGGACACGGACCGTATTGTACCAAATCGATTTCATACCGTTTCATGTGGGATTAGGTAATATTTGGTATGATACCATACCGTGTCAAGTGCGTATGGCACGGTAGCGGTACCGAGTATTTGGTACAGTTCAATACCATATTGTACCGAAATGAGTAAGTTTTAAAAAAAAATTCAGTCTCTCGACTCAAACCTCGATCTCTCAGACACTCTCGAAGCCTCTCTCACTATCAGACTCAGCCCATTCGAAGAACATCTCTCCTCCATGCCCAGCTCTCTGTCTCTCTCTCGATCTCAGACATTGTTTGAAAAGAAAATTTAGTTGTATTTTACCATAGAAATCTGTAATGAAAATGATTTTAGTTACGGTAGTGTTAGAGTTTACTTTTGAATTCGCACTAACATTAGGTGTACCAAATTTGGATCCTAATTGTGGGACCTAAGAACTAATCTTTTGAAATTTACATGCACTAACATCATGCACATGTTGTAAGAGTTTTCGGGTTCGATTCATTAGTAGATGGTCATGTTGTGTGCTGTTCATAGGTAAACACATGATATATGAATAAGTTAAATACTATTTTCCACCTTAAAGAAAATTGAAGAGAGATGTCATCTCAATTGATTGAAATCCATGGGAGTGGTCGAGGATGTCTAGTATGTGAGCCTGAATCAAACAAAACTCTGTATTAAAAAATAAAAGTTATCAATGTGAAATTGGTTGCATATGTGGCCCATTAAAGAGTGGCTTCATGTGAGAGGGAGTGCTGAAAAATATGAAGTTACACATCGGAAATTAAACAAAATAAAATATGACATATAATGAATAGTTCAACTACCAATAACATCGAGACCTTTTGTATAAAACCTTACACCGTATATGTGGGTTGTTAAGTTGGAAACAATATCGATATTGCTAATAGTGAGTTATGGGTCCGTTTCTTTGAAATCTTAACATGTGTAGAGGGTTGTAGTTTCTTTTATTTCTTCTTTTTTCGAAAGTTTTAGTTATTTTTATCTGAAAACTACTGCAGTACTTTTACCTAGGGTTCGTCACGGTCCAGGCCAGTCAAAAATCGAGATGATATTTTTGAAGTTTTTCTTTAAGTTGGCAAATTGAAATTGATGTATTAATTTTTATGATGTTTCTAAATTTTCCCACATAAAAAGGAGCAAAAACCCTATTTAAATGGAAGACAAAAGAAGGGAAATTCACAAGTGAAAAGACTCTCTCACTCATTCTTAGCATTAAAACACAGTGGCAGGTGTCTCTTGCGAAATACTTTGTTTCTTTTTGTGTTTCACCGACAACATAAGGTGTCAGGTGAAATAACTGCACCAAACGACCGACCCCCAAAACAGGCAAACTAATTGAACAAGAAGAAGAAGAAGAAGTAGACAAAAGAAGCAGAAGCAGAGGCAAGAAAACCAAAAGGAAATTCATCAGAATATGGAAAGTTCAGCAACTGAGGAGCAGCAGAGAGAAGGACCCCGTTTCAACAGCCCCTGCACTTTCTTTGAACAAGTCATCAAGGCTTGCCTCAACTGTTTGGGACTTCATGATGATCATAATCAACACCCTCTTCCTCCACAGACCGAAAGAGAAATGAAATTTAATGTAATATACCAATCTCTCTCTCTCTCTCTCTCTCTCTCGTTAATAGTTTGCTTTGCCATCCTTTCTTTTTATACGTATGGGCCTGGCTGTATGTATTTATGTATGTAATGCAGGAAGAGACAATTATGATGATGGCTACAAGATCAAGGAATCTGACTAAACCACCTATAAGCTCTGGTCCAGGTGGTCAGATTAACTATTCTTCTTCTGTTTCTTCCTCCTAAACTACTTCAATTACAGCTCTAGCTCAACACAGACATTCCACAAACCTAGCATGGCTTCTATAGCCTTTCTTTTTTATTTTTTTTTCCCAAGTTTTCTCTAGGTTTGTACATTTTTAAGATCTCTTTCTAATCAAGTAGAACTGATGAGGACATTAATGTACAGTTATGGATCTATTATCCAACTAATGGAAGTCTCTTGTTGGTTTCTTTGCTATAACAAAATGTAAATTGCTCTCCCTTTTGTGGGTTCTTTTGTCTGTGATTGATCAGGAGTTCTTCCTACTTCACTTATGTTCATGAGTACTGACCTTTCCTTGTTCATATTCTTAACTTCCTTTTCTGTCTTCTTTGTGCTTTCTCAACTGTGATTTATGATAATTTAAAGAGCGCTATTTGGGTCCTTAAAACTTAATCCGTGCTCCTCATCGCAATAAATGGGATTGTGATTTATAATAATTTAAAGAGCACTGTTTGGGTCCTTAAAACTTAATACGTGCTCCTCCTCGCAACAATTTGTTCATAATATTTGAGTTAAGGTCTTCCTTCTCTAACAAAGTGGGGAATCAATGCCTAACACAAGTAGCTATTGCCATGATAATTTAAGTTTATTACCATTTTTATATAAAAAGCAATGGTATTGATGGGTTTAGTCCGGTTCTATACAGGACGTCCAATCTGTCGATATGTCATGTGCCGATGTTATTGTAAACAATAAAACATCCGTCCGATCTGTCGATATATAATGTGCCAATGTCATTGTAAACAACAGAACATACCGGCATGTTATTAATGTATTTTCATTAATATTAATAGAATATCGTATGGCATATCGATAATTCAGTGTTTAATTAAAGATAAGACGTCCTGCATAAAACAATTTTGTAGATTCGAGATATTCCCAGACAATGTATAAAAACAAGAGGTGTTTATATACGTTGTCTGTAGATAATTTGTTTGCTTTGGAAATTGAAACCCACCCAAACTTGTTGAAAGAAAAGAAAAAGCTTAGGAAAAAGTAGGGTTCCTCTATATATATTTATATTTAAAAAAAAGGATTAGTTTGCAATTTAATAATTTTTACTCATCTCTTTTGTCAAAATATTTGCTAGAGTAGCGATTTTCATTTTCCGTCCAGTGTTTTGTATATATATATAT